TCTGACTTTGTGCAAGTGTACAAAGTGTGCAAGCGTAGGAATTGATACTGGTTGAAGCGAAAGGGTAGTCACACCAAATATTGATTTGATTTAGATTTTTCTTCTGTTTGCTCACTTTGCATTTTGTAAATTGCTAAACATAAAAAATTACAATGTATATTTTTGAAAGCATTCCTACTTTACAGCATATTTTCACACCTGCCTAAAACTTTTGCACAGTACTATACGTGTCCTTTTCTATACAGAATAAAAGTAATCTGCTAAGATACTGCTTGAGTTCTGTGCCCCACATACATCGAGATACCTTTTCAGTTAGTCAAAATACCTTTAGTTGGTTTAACTAATTGACTAAACATTATGGCCTGTATAGCTTGGCTCTTCCAATGAAATCAATCGTGTATCTAAGGCAGGGGTTCCTGAACTTTTTGCCATCACACCTCCATTTAGTGTAATCTTAATGTACACACTTCCCCTAAAAATCCAAACACAAAATGAACACAAATGAACAATAAAAACAATGCAATGAAACTTTGGGAAAGGTGGATTTATTGTAACAGTATACAACTAAAAGGTTCTTCACATCTCCCCTGGACTCTGTCTGCACCTCCCAAAGGGAGGTACAGCTCACGGTTTGGGAAGCCCTGATCTAACTTATAGCCTTAACTTTTGGATAGTTCCTATAGGCTTATTATATAAACCTTATATAACGTATAGGGTTGATAAAATGTTACATTTCTTTCCAAATAGTTTTCAATAGGTAAACTAGCTTACAGTTGAATCTGGTTTTAACTGATGTCATAATTTAAAACATTTCTAATTATGAATCTTGCTCATGCATTTCCATTCTTCTGCAGTTCTCCCTTTATTTCTATACCTTTCTCAAAGCCTTCTGAATTCTTTTTTCCTCTATTTTAATCTGTTTCTCTAGTAATTTGGGCAACAGTGCCCAAGTTAAGACATCATTATAGTAGCATGTGATATTGAGTGCAGAAAAGAAGAAAAAGATCCCTGCATTTGGATTACAAATTCCTTATCATCTACATTTTATGACATCTTGAGTTTAGAAAGACAAGATTATGAGATTATAAGAAACTTCCATTTTCCAGGAAAAAACACACAAGTTCAATTTCATCAAGTTCTTATATGATTCTGAAAAATTGACATCTGTATGTAGCCACTGGCTCTTATTTTGAAAGCATCAATGTAACATTTACATGTCCTCTTGAGCAAATCTTGTGAAGTGTTTTTCTTTCTTTAGGTTCCATTACAACTGCAGATGGCTCTGCACTTGTGAAGCTAGGAAATACTACAGTGATATGCGGCATAAAAGCGGTAGGTTCATGGATAAAGATATATATTTTTAAAGCTAATACAGGTAGTCCTCAGTTAACAATAACTGAGCCGCATTCCACCATTCAAAGTTGCAATGGCACTGAACAAGTGGTACTTATGGCTGGTCCTCGAAGTTCCAGCCATCACACCACTTCAGTCATGTGATCACAATCTGGGTGCTGGGCAACCAGCTCACACGATGGTTGCAGTGTCCTGTGGTCACGGGATCATCAGTGGTGACCTTCCCTGTCGGCTTCCCATAAGCAAAGTTAGTGGGGAAGCCGGCAGGGAAGGTTGCAAGCTGCTCCCACCGCTTTTTCTCTAGAGGAGCCCTGCTATGGAGTATGAGATCCCAGGGATCTCATATCCTGTAGCGTGCTCGTTCCACAGTACTCCCTCTCCAGCCATGCACTCAAGCAGTGCCAAAGCACCTCCTTCCCAGCCAGCATGCACTCCCTGTAGCAGCTCCCCTACCTCACTCTGTAGTACTCATCCACCCTCCAGCCTGCTTGCCAGCCACCTGGGACTTTCAACTTCCAGCTGGATTCTCCATTGACTTTGCTTGCAGGAAGGCGGCAGGAAATCACGTCACAGTTACATGAGGTTCTCACTTAACAGCCTGTGATTTTCACTTAATGACAGCAGCAGGGACTGCTGGGATTGCTGTCCCTAAGCGAGGACTACTTGTATAGTGAATACCTTTTTGATAAGATTCTTTTGTTCAGATTTAATAGGAAATCCTCATTCTGCTTTAAGAAAAGATTATAGTAAGTCTGGTCCATTTCTTCAATGTTTCTCCTTGCTTTGCTTATAAAGGATATGTACAGATTCCTTTGATCGTTTGTATTTGCAAAAAAGAAAAAAGCCCTCCTGAAAATTTAATTTGAAGTTAAAATATTTTATCCTTTTTCAATATTAAATTATTGTGCTGGTTTAGAAGAAAAAGTAAACCTACTGTTTAAGAAAGATTTTCAGTTCTGCTTTTGTTAGGTAAGTAATAATTGTTTTGTAATATTTATCAATTATCTTTATAGAGAGCCAGCATGATGTAGTGTTGAAATGTTGGGAACAGGGAGACCCAGGTTCCAGTCCAATTTTAGCCATGGAAGGCCACTGGGCCAGTCACTCTGTCTTAGCCCAATCTACCTCAGAGGTTGCTGTCGTGGACAAACAGGAGGAATGAGCACTATTCCTTGAGTGGTGGGATAAAATCAAAGAAATCTAACAGACCCCTTTACACTAAGCCAGGATAGGAGCCTGATGTATCTTAGGAGGCATTGTTCCAGAGGGCACCTGCTGTGATGGAGAGGGCATGCTTCCTAGGTCCCATCAGGTAACAGTGCTTAATGGAAAGAGCATGCCAACTCTGACTGATTATATAGGGTGGGCAGAAACTATGAAAGACAGTCCTTTAGATAACCAGCCCTATGCCATGAAGGGCTTTATAAGTAAAAACCAGCACCTTAAATTGCATCCGGAACCCTGCTGATGCCAATGCAGCTCATGGAGAAAGGTGTTACATAGGCATGACGAGGCCTGCACATAATTGCTTATGCTCCTGCATTCTGGACCAGCTGCAGCATCAGAGTAGTTTTTAAGGGCAGCCCCATATAGAGGATGTTACAACAGTCTATTCATGAGGCAACCAAAGCATGAGTGATTGAAGGGCTTCCTGGTCCAGGTAAGGGCAGAGTAGGCACACAAGACGGATTTGTGTAAAGGCAAATCATACTGCATGCCTGTGCTGCTCTCCTGCTCTGTACAGCTTAAGAGCATACTCCACATCTACTTCCAGCACTAATCTCCTGAACAGTAGAGATGATCTTAATGTACCAAGAGATAAGAAAGTGTGTGAATGTATAGTTGTGAGCATTAAATAGTTCTTCAGATAAATGGATCAAGATGCTGTTGATCACTTAAGCCAGGGGTAACAATGGTTCCCATGTGCCCTAATATAGCTCAGTGAGTTTCCATAGTACCCACCAAGCTCTTTGGCCATTTCTGTTTAAAAAAATGTGTCATAGGAAGCTGACATGAGACAAGTCACCAGCATTATAATTATTTCTAGGTGTGATGGAATGGGTTGGTGAAGGCCGCGCTCGGGTAGATAAGCATTTACTTAGCCCCCAGAAAGAGCATGGGAAGGTGAAGAGGATGAGACTGGCACCACCCTAAGGAATTCTCCGTGTTTGCTTGTTGGCTTGGGAATTTTAGATTCAGTCTGGCAAGATTCTGTCTTGAAGGTGAAAGCTAATAAAGGCTATAGAACTAAATCTGTACTGTCTCATGGAGTTTCTTGGGCTGAAGTCTGGCAAGATTCTGTCTTGAAGGTGAAAGCTAATAAAGGCTATAGAACTAAATCTGTACTGTCTCATGGAGTTTCTTGGGCTGAACCTGACAATAGGGATGTTTTTGGGACCCAGAGGTCTCCTTTTGTATGTTAGAGAGTTTCTTGTAGAGTTAATTTGCTATTGGTAAACAGATACTTTGTGACCAGCCATGCCATATTTTGTGAATATGTAAATCTTCCTTATGACCCATTTTGTAAGTACCTCCACAAAATGTCCTCAACATTCCAAATGTGCCACTGGTCAAAAAGGTTGCTTATTTTATTCAAAGGCAAAAGGCAACTCTTCAAGTTTAGTCTGTCTTGATTTAAGGAATTCTAGATATTGCTCAGTTTGTTCCTCCAAATGTTCCAAAGAACCTTCTTCCTTTGGAGATCAGTCTAATCCTCTGTCCATTGCAGGAACTGATGACTAACAAAACATACTAAGGGAAAAAAATAAAGGAAAAAAATTCTAAAGGAAAAAAATAGCTTCTTCCTTCTAAAACAAGGATGCACTAATTAATATGGCAATTGTAGAAACTTTTACAATGGAATATTCCAAATTGTGATATTGTTAAATGTGAATGATGTGAAATATTCTTCACACTGAAGCAGACTGCCCAGTTTATCCAAAAGTCCCTTTGCTATGTTGCTGGATGATATGCTATTTCTATTAAAGAATTGACTATTCAGATATAAATGTTTTATGGTTTGATACAGATTTATTTTTTGATAGTCACTCTATAATATATGAGAAAAAAAGGCAAACAAGAGAAAGCAAGAGTGAGCATGCACAAAAGAAAGTAGGAATACAGACCTTATCCCCACTGGATTTGCCTTTAACCATATCACCAACTTCCTTTAGAAACAGAGAGTTGTGTAACTAATGTACATTAGTTAACAAATATTAGTTAATATTTTCTTGTTTTAATAAATAATAAAACATATCAAAATTTGGACAAAATATGTGTGCTGGCTTTACAGGTTGCAGAAATATTATTTCTAAGCTTCTAATTCTTATATTTTGCCCCTCCCCAACTACACATTGCATACAGGAATTTGCAGCACCCACTGTTGATTCCAGTAACAAAGGATATATCAGTAAGGTTTCTTTATTCACTTTTTTCTTCAAATATGACATTACTTTTCTATGTTTTAAAATTATTATAATTAGTGGAAGTTGTAAAATTGGGTAATTCCACTAGATTTCATTGTATCCTGACTTTTTATAACAGTTACAGTACTGTTATTTTCCTGTTTTTCTTCCTTTTGATCCCCTATTATTCCAGAAATCCCAAAGCAGAGTTTTGTGAACGAGGATAATACTGAATCCATAACTGGATTTCAGCTTCACTTATATGGATCATGCTTCCAGTTTTTTGGGAGTTACATTTTACTATTTTATTATTCTATACAGGTATTCTATTGGCCTTCCGAAAGGGCGTTAAGACCTGGCTCTGCCAAGGGGTTGCAGTACTGGCAGTGGTTGGTAGCTTGAGGGTGTTCTCTCTACCTTTTTAATCTCTTAATTTTTAGCTTTAACTTTCTTAGCTTTTAGCTTTTAGTAAAGATTTGAGAGATCCTTTTTACTTGGAAGCCTAGAGTCACTTACATAGTGAGATGGGCGGCATATAAATTTGATTAATAAATAAATAAATAAATAAAATTTCGTATTTACTGCTTTGCATAAACTATTCATATTATTTCTTTATTGGGTGTTTAACACAGTGGCTTATATCAGAATATATTTGTGTGTGTGAGAGAGAGAAAGAGAGAGAGTCTGTATATTTCCTGACATAAAGCACTTTATATATACATGTACACAAATACAAATCATTTTATATGAATTACAGTGGTGCTTAAAAGTTTGTGAACCCATTTGAATTTTGGATTATTTTCCTCAATAAATCAAAGAACAAGTATAATGTTTTTGACTCATTTGTTCAATGGGGTTCTCTTTATCTAGTTTTAGGACTTGTGTGGAGAAAAGATCACATTTTAGGTCATATTTATGGAAAAAATATTGAAAATCTAAAAGGTTCACAAATGTTTAAGTACCACTGTAAGTGAGTATTGTGAGTACTGTATATGGTATTGTTTTCTTTTAACAAGGACAAGTTTAGAACATATCTTAAAATATCAGTTGTACAGATGGCTTCTATTAACATTTTGGGCATATTTTATTCATGATTATTTTCCTCCTCTTCTCACATAGTTCCTAATGTAGATCTTCCTCCACTTTGTTCATCAAGATTTCGACCTGGACCTCCAGGTGAAGAGGCTCAAGCAGCTAGTCAGTTTATTGCTGATGTGATTGAAAAGTAAGAAACTTCATACTTCAGTATCAGACTCTTTTAGAGTGGGGCAGCTATAACAAATTATTATTATTATTATTATTATTATTATTATTATTATTATTA